CAATAACATAATAGCTTCATTTTTTTTCCAAATGTAATCAATAATTAAATATTATAAGATAACATTTCAATTAATAAATAATAAATATAATATGATAAATTGATAAACAATAACATATTGTATAATCAAGTGATATATAGCATAACAAATTTAATAATATAATAGTTTAATTAAACCTAAATTAATCACACATTTGTATTGATCATATATTACAATAAACCCTCGTACCACTATAAATTTGTAGGTGTTGATACAAACTATACATGTAAACAATAATGATAATATATATATATATATATATATATATATATATATATATAACAAATTAATCACACATACATATTGATCATATATTACAATAGACTTTCATTCTACTATAAATTTATGGGTATTGATACAAATATATATATAAACATTTAAAATATTTATGATAATTTATGTAATGATAATAAATATATGATAACCTATAATTTTGATAATTTCATAACATATTTAACCTATGATTAATATATGTATAATAATAATTTTGTATATACACAATTACACATTATATATAACGAATTAATCACATATATGTATTGATCATTTATTATAATAGACTCTCATTTCACTACGAATTTATGGGTGTTGATACAAAATATATATGTAAACATTTAAAATATTTATGATAATATATGTAATGATAATAAATATATGATAACATATAATTTTAGTAATTTCATAACATATTAAACATATTTAATTTATGTTTAATATATATATGATAATAATTTTGTATATACACAATATATATCTTTTGAAAATCCAAAGTCGAAACCCACATTTTCCCAACCCAAATTTTAAAAATCCAAGTCGAAACTCACAATTTGTTTTGAACGATTTATTATTCTGTTTAATTTATTTTGAAGTTTTATTATTTATGATGGTTAGTTATTTTAATTTACTGAGTTTTTATTTATTTATTTAAAATATAAATATAGATAGAGAGTTGATTTATTTTCAAATGTTGAATTAAATGGGTATGAATTATAAATTGTTGTATATTTGTTTTTTATAGCATGAATTGGAAAGTTAGTGCATATTTTTTATTCGAACGAGTTATGCGAACAGGTATTTACAAGTTATCGAATGAGTTATTCGAACAGGTATTTACGAGTTAGTCGAACGAACACAAACGAGTTATTCGAACAGGTATTTACGAGTTAGTCGAACGAGTTATTCGAACAAGTATTTACGAGTTAGTTGAACGAACACGAACGAGCTTTTTGTTAATCGAACAAACACGAACACACATCCTGTGTTTGTTCGAGTTCGAACATGAACACAAACAATCGAACATGCTTATCGAACGATTTTCGAACAGGTCTGTTCGTTCGTGTTTGGTTCAATTGCAGGCCTAATGGCCAACGATGGGTGAACTTCACTAGAAAAGTTGCACTGGCTGTTGTTAAAAAGGATGGTGACGGAACTCGAGTTCTGGGCGCCAGTGGTGGCGCTCGAAACTAGTGGCCTGGGGTTGGAGGAGGATGGCCCAAGGTGGTCCGAAGAACTCAAATATGGTAGCTGGTGATCGTGGTTGTACCTGCTGGCCTTGGTTTGTTGGAGGAAACCGAAAGATGATAGTGTTTCTTGAGCCTTAAGCGACGGAAGAAGGTGTTTTTGGGTGGTGTTTTTGAATGTAAGTGGAAGAGGGTGTTATGGTGGTTGTAACGTGGAAGAGGGTGGCGGTTTTTGTTGTAATTTTTGAAGAAGAAATGTGGAAGAGGGTGGCGGTCGTTGGTTCTGATCTTTGAAGAAGAAGGTGGAAGCCGTGGTATATGAAGGTGGAAGTTGTAGATAAATTGAAGAAGGAGAAAAAAGAAGAAAGAAGGCAAAAACAAGAAAAAAGTAAAATGCAGCGCCGCCTAAATCAGGATTAGTCAATAATCAAATTTTTTTTAAAATCTGACTACAAAAATTAAATACAATACTGAAACAAACGCAGGCTAGGTTTTTAATTTTTAGGAAAAACCGATTTGCAAAACCGATTTCGATTAACCGGTTTGGAATTACCCTTTAACCGTTAACCGAACAGGTTTTATCAAATTTAATAACCGAAACCAAGCCAATTACTCTGGAAAACCGGTTTTTTGGACCGATTTCGATCGGTTTCCCGATTCGATTCAATTCGATTTTCGGTTTTTTTTTTTTTTTTTTTTTTAGCCTTAGTACAAAAAATGTAAGAGAGAAGCCTTCTAACTCCCTCTCGTCTGCTTATTCTATTTCAATTAAGAGTAAACGACTTTTTCCCACCTAAGGTTTGGCAATCTGCAGTTCCCACCCATGGTTTCATAAATTATAAATTCCCACCCTTAAATTATCAGAAAAGTGTTTAATCTAACTATTAAAAGGGTAAAATGATCATTTCAAAGATGAAAATTTCAAAATAACCCTTCATTTCTCAAATTCACCCCACTAAAAAATTTCAAAATAACCCTAGACTTCTCAAATTCACCCCACCAACGATTTCATGCCATTCCAACATATTCCCGACGCAATCAACCCTTCCCGACACCACCGTTACAATTCTCTTAACCCCCACATCAAAACCCCTAACCTCCCCGCCTGATTAAACGCCCCAATCATCGACCACCGCTCTTAGTTTTAGTCGGTGTTTCATCAAAATTTCAACAAGTCCCAACGCAGGAAACCACCCCCGACACTACCAATAGCATCAACGGCTTCCCTCCATCAAAACCCCCAATATCGTCGACCATAATTGCCTGCGATCGCCATCGCCTCTCCTTTAAGTTTTCACGTTTGGTTGCAACTTTCCAACCAAATTTCGACCCCTTGACAAGGTGTTATCGAGTGAAAAAGTTAGGAGCTTTGGTGAGGAGGATAAAGAGATGTTGATGGTGATGTTGGAGAGGTCCAATGGTGCTAGAATCAAGCCAGATTTTTAACTTAGTCGGGATCTCCTTTGGGGGTTATTTGAGATTTTATTTTGAGAAAAAAATAACGGTGTTAATTTAAAAGTGAGAATATGTAATTTATGAAACCATGAGTGGCAACTTGCAGTTTGGCCAAACCTTAGCTGTGAAAATGTAGTTTACTCTTTCAATTAATTTGCTGCTCCGTTTATTTTACTGGACTACTTTATTTCATTTACTTCGATAACATTTTAGTATTCTAAAACGATAACATATCAAACGAGTTTATCTTCGTACTCGCCATTACTATAAAGATTATTTTAAACATAATCGTGTGCAGGCCAAATACCTTGAAATTACCATTTCAATTTGAATTGGCCAATAATTTAGTTCTGTTATTATAATACACAGGTTATACTTAAAAATTGGGATAAACAATTAATGAGATTATGCTTAATAAATTAAAGTTAATTATATGACTTGTGTTTAGAGACTTCATGATTAATTGCTAAGAGAAGTGAAAGTAGAAGATTATAGTAATTCTGCAATGATTTCACTAAACAAAACTGAAACTAAAATGGCACAAAGTAAAAGACTTAGCATAAACGGGAACATTGAATTTCATAAAAAAGGTCCATACAACCATCCTCTCAGACAGGGGTGCATACGAGCAGAGCCGAGCCGAGTCGAGTAATGACTGGCTCAAGCTCGGCTCGTTACTATTGGGGAGTGCAGCTCGAGCTTGACTCGTTTCATAAAATTACTAGCTCGAGCTCGACTCGAACACTTATTAACCGAGCCGAGCCAAGCTCGATTAAATAATAATGGAGGAACAAAAAGCCTCTCTCTTCTGTTTAACTCAGACAAATTATCATACACTTACACTGCAAATCAACAAATAAAAAAAAAAAAAAAAATCAACTTCAATTTAATCAATTTCACCAAAATCCCAGAATTCAAACTAGGAAAATGAGCCAACCACTTGATCCCAAAGAAACCTTCATCCCAAAAAAAACATTCAAAGCAAAACATAAGCTGTAAATTCAACAATCCTTCATCCCAAACACAACATCCAAGCAAAACACAAGCTGTAAATTTAACAATTCTTATCCAAAAACAACATTCAAACGAAAACACAAAATAGAAGCAAACATTAAGCATATGGAATTAAGTCCATGGGAAACAAAAAAGCATCCTATATATCACATATCTTCTTCTACCGTAGCAATTACACATGCTACACAAACAAGCGCAGCAGCTTCTCTTTCTTGCATCCATCTTCTTGCATGAACAACAAGACCAACAGCCAAGATATTTCATTTTTCATTTGGCTACCAACTAGATTACTAAAACAACAATGTGAATAAAGAAAAATATCAATGAAAAATATTCAGAGCTGGTGCAGGGTAAAGGAAGGCTGAGGTGAAATACAGTTGAAGGGAAAATGTCTCTGTTTTAGGGATTTTACAGCGCACAAGTGAAATAAGGTTGAAAGGTAAATGAAGACTGGTCGTTGGACAGTAGTAGTTGACTGAAGACTGGATGAAGGCTGAACAACGGTGGCGTCTCAGATCTTGAGTTGTGATTTGCCAGAGGTGAAATAAGGTTGAAGGGAAAATGTCACTGTTTTAGGGATTTTACAATCGAATGTCTTTGTTTCAGATTTTAGGACAAATCTGAATACGCGAGCTGAAACAAATTGATCGATCTCATGAGCTCTCCTACTCGAATGACGTCTCGAGTTTCTCAAAAGTTCGCAAGTAGTTCGAATCGAGCCTAAAATGCTCAACATTTTTCATGAGCTTGAAGATGAGCTCGAACTCGTGAACTACTCGATTTTTGACGAGTCAAGCATGAGTTCGTGACGAGTCAAGCCTGAGTTCGTGACGAGTCGATCCCGAGACTGCACCCCTACCCTTAGATGAGATCTATTTATTAGTTGGCTTGGGTTCAAATAAATTACCTTTCTATTTAACATTCATAATCTGATAGACTCTCATAATCATTCAAATTATTTTCCAAACTAATCAGACAGAAACTTCAACACCATATATGCTTTCTCTAGGACATTTAACAACACATCAACACTGTTCAAAACTCACAATAAATTGCACTCATTAACTATTGCTCAAAGGCTTGCTACATGCACAGAAAGATAATTGAAAACAATGTGTGGCAAAATAAATAAAAACTACGCAGATTCAGAAAATTCAACATCCTCCACATATTGATTAATCATTACCAACCCATAAGCTAATAAATAGTCTCTAGGCTTTCGTTAAATCATTTCCAAGTAAAAAACTTGCCCAAAAACTCATTTCAGCATGCTATGAAGAGTTGGGACTTCCGTTCCAAGAATCAGCCACTTCCTGATTGCACCTGGAAAATTAAATTTAAAAAAAAAAAAAAAAAAAAAAAAAAAAATCAACTTTAAAACGCCTCAATTTCACAAACTTTTAGCAACTCATTGACTTAAAGTTGTGTTTTCTCTGATGAAAAGCCATATTCTCTTATTTCAATCAGTCTAGGCAATACTGCAAAAAATAGGGCAAGACCTGAAAGTCAACAAGAGGTAAATAACTTAAATCCATCGAAATATACCTCTAAAGTTGTCTAAGACTAGTTCCAGATAGAAGATACCTATAAGATGGCCATGCCATGCTTGATCTTATCGCCTCTACTTCAATGTCATTGCTTATTTTCACTCAAGAGAAATGCTAAATATTGGCAATTCTTTTCTATTCAGATGTTTATACATTTAACAGATAATGGAACATCAAGTGTGCTTGTGTGCTTCTGTCTGTCCATTGCTCCACACAAACACATAATACAAGCACTGTTTAATCATCCTCGGACCCAAAAACGCTAACCTTACGAGGTGATGCAGACCGTGAATGTGATCGTGATCGTGACTGTGATCTTGATCTTGCTCTGAAAATTAAAATTTCAATACTCAAATAAAAATACTGTCCATAACAGGGCAAAAAGTAATAAATTACATTAGTTGACTGAAAACAGGTTACCTTGATGGTTTAACAGGAGATGCAGATCTAGATCTTGACACTGATCTAGAAGCATATTGTTCTAATGATTTACTGCAGAACAGCAGAATTTTTAGGATGCAGAATAGCATATTTAAGGATTGTATTTAAAAAGAATTAACTAAAAAGAATAAGATAAAAGAAATTGTACCTTCGATTTCTTCGCACACTTCTGCTCCTGNGACGAGTCGAGCCTGAGTTCATCACGAGTCGATCCCAAATAGCTCACGAGTCTGGTTAGGTCCCATGGAAATATCCTGTGGGACAAAGACATGGAACTGGTAAGGCGTGAGGGCCTGATCGATCACATTTGTAGGACTTGGACATTTATTAAATTAATTTATGTGAAATTTAGTTTTTATTAGTGATTTTTTTTTAACTTTTTTAAATAATATCACAGTGGGGTCACTTGACCATAAAATTATTAAAAATAGATATATATTTTATAATAACGAAAATTTTGATCCCACTAATAATATTGTATTTTATTGATGTTGGGATTCGAAAATATCCATATTTTTTTTTCACATTGTCTCTCTTTCTCAGATCCTCTCTTCTTCTCTCATTGTTTCTTCTTCTTTTGGTTGTATTAATCAAGAAAGACTACTTCTTTGGAGATCTCAAGGTAAAATGATGCTCAATTTTTTTCATTTTTTGTTATTTTGCTTAGAAATCTCTTCTTCTATTTTTCTTAATTGATGAAAGATCTTTTAACTTTATTGACTAGAAATACTGACTACGCCCCTGATTGCAGGTAAGATCAATTATTCATCTTGGTTTGTTTTATGCATCTTATCATTCGTAAGACAAAAAAATATCAACCGTATTAGATTATTTAAAATGTAATAAAATTTAACTTTCTCTAACCTCTCACTTATGTGATTCAAATGCAAAATTCTTGTAAAAATTAGTGCATCACTATTTTAAAATATTTGAATTTGATAGGTAAACCAAGAACAATTTCACATAATGAATAAATGCATGTAAAATAATGTGACTATCCATAAACATGACTTGTTAAAATAAATTCATAATAAGCATATGATATTGATCATATATACTAGGTCCATGAATAGTGTTGACCTCTCTTATGTTTAATGTGCCAAAACTATCTAAAAAGTTGATTGAATACTAACCATAACATGTTAAGGTATGACACAAGTCATAATCAAATAAAAACAAGTTTTATCAGGTGGTACGTTCTTGCATCAAGCAAGGTATGATCGTGCACAAGCAAGGCACAACCGTACACGAGCAAAGAACACCCATCCATAAGAGAAAGCTACCTAGATGACCGTGCATGTTTGCACGACATCATTCCTCATGGTCGTTCATCATTCTACCAACCTGAGTGGCACTAGCACGACCATCCTGCACGACTATGCCTTCAAGTCAAAAAGTTAAGATAATTCAAATCCAGAATCCTTCGCGCTCTTGACTTCATTTAAATTGGTCAAAGTTAAACTCAAAGTTCAAAATTGGAACGATCATTCCTTGTGGTGGAATGACTGCTCATATCTGAAGAGTTTTGCATGACATCGTTCCAACGAAGCTGTTCATGCTTCTAGAAAATTAGTGGATTTGGAAGAGCATTTGGGTGTGCCCGTTCCATGTGGTGGAATGACCGTGCGTTGTTCTTGCACAACCATACGGCGTGGTGGAACTACCATTCTAGTTACCCTAGATCTGAAAAGTGTGACCTTTGCATTAGGAACAATCATTCGCGATATGGAATGACTGTTCCTCTGGGTTTTTTTAAACTTTATCATACTGCATTAAATGCTGCAATGGCTAATCTTTTTAAGGTTATAAAACCTTGACATTTCTATGTTATATGAGAGAGAAGATATCTGAAAAACATTCTCACATAATACCTAGAGCTCAAGATCTAAATCAAATACTCTCACTTGTACCCATTTTGTAAATCCTTGAGAGTTAACTTGTTCTTATTGTGTGTATAACCCTACATTGAAGAAGTAATCATTCATAAACATCTTTGAATCATTCCTTGGTGGCACAATCCTGTAAAACTAGGTGCAATCTTGTAAATCTATGTGTGTGAGGGGAAAATCCTTGTGAAAACTATTGTATTGGCGAAATCCCATTCTAGTGGAACTTCAAGGAGGTTTCCTTGAAGAAGTGGATGTAGGAGGCTTGTAGATATAGCTCTGAACCACTATAAATCCTTGAGCATTTCTCTCTCTCTTTACTCCTCATTATTATTTGCATTGTTGTTGGTTGAGCATCATTTATTGCACTTGTTCTTGCATGCATTATATAAACTTATTTTTTACAAGTTGAATGCATTTATTGCTCCCTTTGAGCATATTTATTGTTTATTTATCTCAACATCATCTTTATCATTCTTGGATTGTTAAGTTTAGTCATTGAACATTGTTTTGATAAACTCATCATTCTCTTTCATTGTATTGATAAGTTTTATTCCTCAAACATTTTTATTGATCCTTATTCAACACCCCCATAACCCCCACCCCCCCGCCCAAGGAATATTTAGCCATATTTTTCAAAGTTGGGGCTCTTGTGTTGAAAATGTTAGAGTAGGTGCCTTAGAGCCAATCCTATTTTCTAAATTGTCTCTTTGTAATCATGTTTTATTATCAACAAAGGCATATATCTATATCATGTGATCTGATTATATTCGTATAAGAAAATGATATATGTCCTTAGGATGGTAGAACCGTGACGAGGGGATCGAGTGTTTGAAATCTCGATAGTGAGAACCCTATGAGCACATATGGTGGCCATTCTAGAAATGTCCATAGCCCCAGTATTATCTTGACCTAGGGTATAGATAATACATAAGGCTATCATAGTGTTGGACGACCTTATCAAAAGGTAGTGCCAAGTCTCACTTGTCAACGTTGTTTGGTGACAACTTGGTGTAACACATAGGTGCTTGCTATAGGCAAGTTCACCGGACCGGCCCACTAGAGGATTCCACATACATGGTTACCCCAATGTCTATGGAAAAAATCTTCCAATGAATGGCGGTGCATGTGATCCTTACACTTGAGATCACCGGAGTGCCTTGTGCACTGATTGGTGTAGCTTGACACTAGCCCAACGTAGTTCTATTCAAGACTATCAGAACGGTAGTGGTTAGCTGCATTGAAAAGTGTATCGAGACTATGGTGGATCGACAGAGGATTCATCAATCCCAAGTATGAGAGAAATTATCTCACTGAGTACTTTGGTAGATGGCAACGACATTAAATCTGTGGCCACAGTGGGATTGAGTTGTAGCTCAATCTAATCTATTATGGTCGTTGGTCCAATAACCGAATATCGAGATATCAAGATATCCGAGGTTGATACTACTTCTATGCCTTGGCCTTGATGAGATAATAGATGACGAAAGATTGGATTACACGGTAACCATATCATTGATAGGTAGTAGTTTCGCTGAATTCAAATCTATCGGGTGGCCATGATCCTGGCTAGAGGCCAATCTTGGTCTATGTCTAGTGGGACGATTGATTGATTATTTGTTGCAATACGATTCACTACCGATATGATGAGGAGCCTTCAGGTTGAACACATAGAAGACGGATTAAGAATAAAATTTGTGAGAAGGGTATTTTCGTCATTTATGATGAAAGGGCATTTTCGCCTTTTAAGATGAAAAGGCATTTTGGTAATCTCACAGTGTAATTAAATTTACTGAGGTTGTTGCCTAAATTTAATTTCATGTGGAAATTAAATTAATGAGATTATATATATTTAAATATTTAGTTTAAATAAATAAATAAATAAAATAAATAAATATATATATATATATATTTATATATATAATATATATATATATATATATATATAATATATATAATGGATATTATCTAATATTAATATTGATATGTGAATTCAAATTTGGTTTTTAAATTTGAATTGAAAAATGCCATGTCTGGTTGCAAGGGTAATCTATTCCATATCCATGGAATAGTGGCTATTCCAATTTGGAATAGAGTTTTGGTGTGCACTATTTAAGTGCAACTAAAATTAATTCATTAAGTTGAATGAAATTATTATATGCAACAATTAAAAGAAACCCTAGCCTCCTCTCTATCTCTCAAAACGTGAGCCTCCATTGGTGAGAGAAGAATTTTTCTCTCAAAGAAAAATTCTGCAGTTTTTATTCTTTTAGTTGAGTGAATTACATAGCCTAATAATTCCTCAACGACGTTTGTCCCATCTTAGGGTGGATATCGGGAGTTCATTCCTAACTTGGAGTGGGAGCAAATCACATCAATCGGAGGAGCTTCCAAACATTGGTATGACATTTAACTTGATTTAAATATTTTTCTTGTATTAAAATGATGTAGATCCGTAATTGGATCATTGGTTTTATGGTTTTTGTGATCGAAAATTTTATATTTCCTCTGCATAAACGATCCAAAAATGAACAGTGGTATTAGAGCCTTTTTCCATATTTACATCAGTTAATACATGTTTGGATGTGATGAATTTGATATGTATCAATTATATTATTGCATGATGAGTAAAAACTGATTTTTTGTGTTAAAAATCTGCTGCGGTTGATGTGTTGCTAAACTGATTTTTTGCATATGATTTTGGTGGATCGAAATCAAATAAAACTTGATTTTGATCAGAGTAGGATGCTGCCGTGTAGGGTGGTGTGTTGCTGCTGTGTGCTGCCACGCATGGCAGCAACAAGAAGCAGCAGCGGCAGCTCGCGCTGCTTCATAGATTGCGTCCGATAGCACGCAATAGCAGTGCTGTTGCGCGCTGCCGTCATGAAGGAGTGCTGGCCACATGCTCCAGCATGTGGCGTTGGGCTATGCCACTGCAAACGGCACATCAGCAGCCTTGTGTGCGAGCACAAAGGCTGTTGTCGCACGCGGCAGCGGCGCATGCAAATGCACCACTGCTATCCTCTCGATTGGGTGCTGTTTTGGGCCTGCCCTGTGTTGGCCAAGTGCTCCCAGCACTTGGGGGCACTTGATTTTTTAGCCAAGGGCCTCATCTGGTGCGCGTTAAAACGTGCACCAAATCCGGATTTTTTTGGGCAGCCCATGTAAAGATGCAATGGGCTGAATTTTGGGCCGTGATCGAATTGTCGCGCAATATTTTTTAATCCATAATTTTCTAAAAAATGTTGCTGAATGTTAGAAATATTTTGGAGGCCCAATTGAGTGAGGCCCG